CTGAATTCAAAAATAAAATAAATAATTAATTAATTACGATAATAATTAATGATAATAATTAATTATATAATATAATATAATTAACAAAATTGCCGATTTCTTTATGTGAAAAAAATATTATCTCTTTTATATTATTATAAAATTTGTTATTGCGTTGCACAAAGTTCTATATAATATTATTAAAAAATCTAAAATGCAAGATTTTTTACAAAGCCAATTAATTAAAATTGAAAATAAAAAGAACATATTCTCATTTTCATTCAAAGGTTACCTTTTAAAGGGTGACAATTTATCCGCATAACACGCGTATAATCAATTTATTACAGTTTCTATAATTTTCATCAACAATTCGCGTTAATTACTCGAGATCTATCGTTAATAGAATCACCTGCTTGTTATATATTTACTATCGACCTACTTAGAGCTTTGCGAGGCAACTATCGTATTATCGCAATACGATCTGTATACGATGATGGCATACGAGGTAGTGCTATGATGCAAAACAATTACAGCTTTCATCGAAGCTTCGCCAATGGCGTTTATCGAAGCCATGAATCTACTCGTCGGATCGTACATGCCTTATAAATTCGCCTCGCCGCGCGATCAAAGGTTTAGCTTGTTAGCATACGAAACATCGTCGTCGCATGTACTCGCATTGACTACGTAAGAAACTGTGCAGTTGATAACGCAATGCTCACGTAAAAGTGACTCAACAGCGGCAGCGCGAATTCCAGCGTAGGTGCCGTTATGCGAAGGTAATCGTTTACCTCGCTAATTGCCAAGTGTATTCTTGGAACATGGAAGCTGAACATGCAAATGTTAGATTTATTCTTTTTTTCAGCTGATTTTACAATTTATCTTTCCTCCTTTTATTTCCACGTTGGAGAAAGCAAGAGAAAAGATAAACATTGCAAAGAATTCAACTAAAAAGAACAGGCCTCTTTTAATTCAAAAGTGTAACGCTACCTTGTATTTGGAAATGATCAACATCAGTGAATGCGAGACATTTTCTTCTATTTTTTTTCGTCATTAAGAAACAAGAAAAGCCGTTTTGCTTCGAGTAGATTGGAGTTATTAGAGGGGAATGAAGCTAAAACGTAATATGCCGTTAACTACCGATCGCAGAGAATTATGGACGAATAAAGTGGCCGCGCGAGAAGCGAAGTCGTTAACTTCTCAGAGAAAACGTATTAAACGCAACGATAAAGGATCGTTTGTATGCAATCAAGTTAAAAATTTGTTGTTAGTAATATTCAGTAACAACAAGACACACTGATACATATGACGTAATTGACATTTATAATAGCAATGTCAATTGACGTCCGAATTAAAAAAAGGGAAACATTGAATAAAAAATGCAAACAAGATAATATTGTATAATGAGCGAAAATTACTGTTGAACAAGTCGAGGTCACTTAGCGTTTTCTATTATGCTAGAAAACGTCTGAATTGCATAACTTTTGAGTAATAACGTATATATAAAGAGAGAGAAAAAGAGAGTACGATTTTTCCGTGCTATAAGGATATCATATTAATTAAAAAGGGTAAAAATAAACAGGATCATATCGCATAAGTAAAAAATTTTAGAAATACTTTACTATGTTAATCTAAAATGCTTTGAATATATACAGATATTTACAGAATAAATCGTTACAAAATTACCAATAAATTATGTAAATTACCTACAGCTAAATAATATTATATATGACATTCATAATTTAATTATGGATACTTATTTTTAATACAATTATAATTATAATCGATTTAATACATTCTTACGAAACTATTACTTTGAAATTACTTTGAAATTATTACGCAATTCCAACATATATATATACGCATTTGCGGATAATATTCTATTGCAATTATAAATCTACATGTTCTATGATAGAACAACAGGGTCATGCAGATACTATCGAGGTGACGCTATCAGGCATCATAAGATTTCTGAAATTGATAATGTCGATTAAAACGCATATACAGTATATCATGGCCCATCAGTATGATTATATTTGAACGTAATATTACAATCAATAACTTATCTTTCCTCTTTGTGAAAGAGAGTCTCCTTACGCAAGCGAAAGGTTTGCTATGGGAATTAATCATGTCAGTTACGGCGTTTAGTAGGAACAAAAAAAAGTTTGACGTCAGTTTCCAGTGCATCTGGTAGCTCTCGCCGTAAAGATCTACAATTCCAAATGATTTATGACGAGACACGGAACATGTTCATCAATTAACTTAATGACTTTACAGTATATAGGAGTATTTTATGTATATAGAAATTATGGTCTGTTCAACGTTAAATATATAAATACGTTAAATATTAAATATAAAAACGTATACTTCCGCATGAGTCAATATATGATTTAATGAGAAACAGTTTAAATGTTAATTCTCTTTAAAATAAGTTTAATTTTTTTTAAATTAAATCTTTAGACTGTTTCCGAAAATTAATTAAATTATTTAATTGTTAATTAAATTAATTAAATTGACATTTTTCAATTAACTATTATAATTAATGATTTATTATATGAACTAAATATATATTTTATATAGCTTTATATAAAAGATCATTTCCAATGTTACAGAAAATCTTGAAAAACGAATTAAAAGCGCGACAATAATTTTGTAATATCAAGATTATATACATCAAGATAGAAAAACCTTTATGAGTGAAAGCAAAAGAGAGTGTTCAACTATTATATGTACATTAATCAGTTTGTATATAATTCATTTTATACGATATTTTATTTATTATAGTATATATAAGTCGTTATCTTTCTAAAGGCATATCAAAATGTCCTGTCAAAAAACTGAAGATACAGAATTTACATAATAATGCTCATTAAAGGTGTACTACTCAAACCAGATTTCGTTCTGCAAGCAGAAAAGGAGAGAAGAGATTGAGCGTCATATTGGTCCATCGATGTTTAAAACGAAAATCACATAATACGATCGCAGAAGCAATGAACAGAGATAAAATGTAATAACGTTCGTAAAGAAGAAAAGGATATTTTTGACCTAATAATAATATTTTATTGCAGCGGACGCGGTTTTCATGTGCACATATCTTTTACAATAAATTTCTTATTGTTCCAGTCTCTTTGATACTCAATGTTCAATGGAAGCCAATGTTTCTTCCAAAAATTATATAATAACGTTTGGAAAGTAAATAATCAATTGTTAATAGAGAAATATGTTAAAATAAATAAGTTTATAAAAAAAATCTTAACGACGAAACGTATATATTTATGTATTATGTGCTAACTCAAACGTTACACTAAATAAAAAAAGGAACAAGTAAATTCATTTCTTATAAGAATAATTAAAATTAAATTGGCTACTATTTTTTCAATACGCGTATTTGCATACATTAATTTTTATTTGCTATTATATCTGTGATATTTTTACATGTTTAATCGGTCAATTCAATGTTGCGAACAGAAAGTCATGCATGCGTATGTTCCTCATCTTGTTTCTCACTATGATCTTCCTTCGTCTACCATCGCATGCCCTCTCTGCATTCCAATCATTCTCACTTTTACTCTCGCCGATGATCGAAATCTCGTGTCTTAGAGATATAATGTCTTATCTTTAGAATTCTTCGTCGGTGAAATCGTTTTCAAAACGAAGAAAAAAAACACCAGAACAATATAGCCTCTCTTTCTAATGTCATACTTGATTGATCTCATTAATAATATTTATGTCAGATTGCCAATTATTTAACATTTATTATATATCAATGTCAGAGAAGCATTAGCGATTATTCAAATCGTTCTCCTAACAAGATTACTGAAATTAAAAGTATTCTTTTTACGTGATAGACATCTCAATAGATCAATTAAAATATAAATGTATTTAAAAATATGTATTGTAGGCGGAGGAAAAATCGAGGACTCTGAAGGAATGCTGCGAAGGATACAAAATTCACGGCGATGCGGAAATGGATGCGAGCTGTTTACCGTTTTGCGAAAAATGTGTGGTAGGTGTGTGCGTCGCACCGAACGAATGCCGTTGCAATCCTGGATATTATGGAGATGACTGTGCTCATGGTAAGTCTAAAATGAAATCAATAGTTATTAGGCGTTTCTCTCTTCTCTCATTAAATATCTAATCGATGTGCTAATGTACTTCTAATGGATACTTATCATTGGTGACTTAAACTTGTAATTTTGAAATTTTTACATAATTGAGATGATTCTTAAGACTTTTATGCTTTTTGAATTTAATGTATATTAATTATCATAATTATTTTAGTTTATAAATAACGCGTTTCAAAAAAATTTCATTCTGAAAAATAAGAAGCTAAAATATTTTTCGTTATATTTATAAAATTTATTGATATTTTTTTAATACCAAGTTTACTATCTTAAAAATCCACATATATTTCAATATAGCAACTTATTATAATATAGCAATTAAATTTGCGCGTCGTGGCTATTTAAGATGATAGATATACCTATATAATATCAACACGAACATCAGAATGACCCAAAGAATGATCCAAAAGCATTTTAAAAGGTCATTGAAATGAATTCTTTGGCTAATGACTTGCAACATCTTTTATTTATTGAACTGGACTGAATAATGTTTACAATTGTATGTTGATAAATTGCTACGATATTAAAAGTATATTTAAATCAAGACAACAGAAATGAATATAAAATGCAAAATCGATTAAATTAAAACTTTTGAAAACTTTGAAAATCTGTTAAATAATTAATTAAACTGTATAATTCTGCTAATTTTGCAATAATTTCAATCCGATGAATAAGAGCTAAAATTAAGAAAATAAATGATGCGTCGCGCGGCGATTGTGAAACGAAATTGAGAGCGAACAGATCCGAAACGGATAGCAAAACGCAATGAGAAATTTCACGCTCCATGAAATGGACCGACCTTCCACGCGCGTGTGAAATGACTGTTTCCAGTAGATAGTACTTCCACGCGAATCATAATAATGAGTGGGATTTCTCATGTAATTTGTACAACGCATCTCGTTAAAACTGATGTTAACCCACACGTGCCTCTGCAAAGGCATCGTGGCATAATCACAGTTGTTGTAAAATAACGACGTAATAAAAGTTATTAAAAATTAGATTATGTGACAATCTTTGATTATATGGCACATAAAAAAATATCATTCCTTTACTTTAAAAATAATACAATTAAAAAAATGTTAATTTCGAATTATTATTATGTAAGTTAGGAGTAAAAATTATTCTTAATCAGCAAAAGTAAACTAGTTATTCTTAATCAGCAAAAGTAAACTAGCTTCACAGTCCATTCGCCAAATAGCATTTATGCGTTCTAAAGTTATTAATATTTTCAAGAGAGTAACTCGTTTTGAATTATGTCGTAAATAAAAAGGAAATTCTACAAAGAATATTTAAAGTTAAAACAGTTTTAATGATTGAAGTTTGAAGAAGAAATTATTTTATTTTAAATTTAATCATTTTACCTGATTAAGATAATTATAAATTGTTGATGATATTTTGAATTATGTTACTTTTGATAAATTATTCCTAATTTGTTATAATTTTGTAGGATATCAGAAGCATAACTAAAAAAAAAATATTTTCTTTTTATCTATATTATTTAATTAGTCAATAATTTTCTGTTAAATTGAAAAATAGTTTTTCCTAAAAATCTTCAAAAATTTTTCAAATTGTATTACTTTTAAAATAAGGAAACGATATTTGCTTTTTCATTATCAGTAACTTTAATTATAATTTTCTCATCATTTAATATTCGGACCTATTAAGTTTAATGAAACTTTTGTAGCATTTAACACAATTAAATCCCCTAAAATTTTATTTATTCTTTCTCCTTTACAATTTTTTTTTCTAAAAACACATTTATAGAGTTGATGAAAATAAATCATAGAGTAACTTATCGTTGTCAAACAAGCAGAAATTGCAGATTGCACGCAACTGTTGCGTCAATACGATCGGGGAATGCTTCGAAAGTTGCGGAAGCCCGGAAGTTACGAAGCCGCTACTTTCCCGTGAACGTTCGAGAAGGTCGTGGGCGGCGTACAGTTGATCAGATACAACGCGTCCGACGTTCACATAACGCAATCACGACGTCAATGCTTTATAAGAGACATTTACGTTGTATGACAAACGTTCACCTTAAACATTTTGAAGATATGATCTACAATCCAGCTCTTACAAACTTATTAATTTCACTTACATGTATTACGGAACGTTTAATAGCCTTTTATGTAGAAATTGCCTTTTCTTGTTTTGATTGTCAACTATCTATGAAATACGTTAACATTATAGATTAAATTTTAATTCATGGATAGTTGACAGTCAAAACATGAAAAGGCAAGAAGTTTTTATTTTAATCATTAAAATAAAAACTTCTTTATTCGCATATTTATGATGTAGGAGAGACTAAGGCATTTTGCACAGTTTTCACATTTTTGACATTAGATTTTTTAAATTACTAATTATTATGATAAAAATGTATTAATATGATAGAGATTCTACGTAAAATAATAAAATTCGATGATTTCAATGGCCAAGCAAAATGAACAATTTGTATATGAATAATCATTTCGCATTCTATATTATTTATAGAAAATGTTCTATTTCAATCTACATAAGAAAATAGTTTTTCAATTTGTACAATAACAAATCATCATGTAACATCTCTCTTGCATATGTAATATATGCATATAATTTAATTTAATTTAAAATTAAATATACATATACTAATATACTAATTTATTCTAGCATGCCCATTGGGATTTTGGGGTCTACAATGTACAAAAGTATGCGATTGCGGTGAGAGTAGTATCTGCGATTCTGTAAACGGCACTTGTCATTGTTCTCCAGGACGGCAAGGACCTCAGTGAGTGATGAAAAATATCAATGATCATGATTGTTCCAAAAATACCAATGTTTACCGAATAACAATAAGTAGCTCGAGGATGTGTTCGTTTAGCACATTAAATCAAGTGATACTATAAAAATTATATTCTTCCTTTTGCAGATGCGAGGAGCATTGCGCAATTGGCCAATGGGGCCCAAGTTGTGCAAACAAATGCACATGTCAAAACTGGGATAATGGCTGCGATGCCGTAACCGGAAGCTGCATTGACGACGATGTCTCTTCGGTCGAGCAAACGTCGCCCGCTTATTTGCAGAGCTCTACTACCGACCGGCTACCACAAACAGGAATTAGTAATACGGAGCATACGGAGATTGTCTCTGTGCCACGTGAAATCACCGAACGTCAGAAAGGTAAATATGAAGAAAAGTTTTCGTCAATCTAAGAAAATTTTTAGACTTTAGAGTTGCGCAACTATTTTTCGGAAGATGAAGAAATGAATTTTCATTTTCAAATATTGGAGATTCGCCTCGAAAGGCGAATTCAAGCAAAAATAGCCGATTAAAAATTAGGGAAAGCAAGTTTCTCGTACGTTTTCATATGAAAAGTATAAATATAATCGATCATATTAAAGTTAGGTCACAAAAAAGGGTTAGGTTATCGAACTTTAAGCTTAATTTTGATTTTCGAGCTGAACTTCTCTATAGAAACTGATGCTATGAAGTCGACAATTTTTTGAAGAAGTTCAAAGAAGTTTAGCTCGATTTGAACTTTTACATCGACAATATGACGCACTTGTTTTTCACGGCAGTAATAGATCACTTTAGTCAAGCATAATTATAATTATTAAATATAATAACATTTGTAATATGTAGTTTCAATCGCAGGTATCAATAAGAGTTGGAATGACACCAATTACATTCCGGAAACAACGAGTCCGGCAACAGCTTCAATCATGGCCCCTCCTCAGGGAGTAGAAGTTTCGGTAAACGAAATGCAAATAAAGAATCCTTCCACCACTGCTCGTCCTGTGATCGTTTTAGTCTCCGTTCCTGAACGTAGAAGGGACATTGAAAAGGATAATCAAAAGTTCGCCAAAGACGTTCTTCTCAGACATGTCCAAAGTGACAAAAGCATCAATGTGCCAAATGTCGATTATGTAAAAACTATTCACAAAGGTACTATCTTAAGATATTTCAAAAATGCATACTAAAATTTTCGTTGTTGTTTTTATACTATAGTGCTCGGCTGTTCGATCTCTAATAAAACATTTCTATTGCGACAGACGATATTCAGACATCAACGCCAATCTCGTTAGACATCGCTCTAATCGTCATCGCTGCGATCGTCTCCCTCGGTCTCACCTCGCTCGCGGTGGTTATGGTCCTTCACATGCGTTCCAAATTATTCGAGACCATTCGTCTTGCTGTCTATGATGACGAGAAGACCAAAAGCCCAGAACGCAAGAGCGTGAACAACGGAAGGATGTCGGTGGTAAACGCCACTCTGCCTTGTAAGTTATACGTTCACCTAACAGCAACATTCTCTCTTAGATTACCAGTGAAATCCACATGTCCTTGACCCCGATAAGCCTGGCCGTAATTGTTTGAAGGAGTCTTGACCGCCATAACCAGTGAAAAAGTTATCTCGCCGATCGTGTGGTGTTGAATTTTTTCTGCTCATCACTAATCTGCCATCAGCACAAGATAGTTGTGTATTATATTCTCCGATACCTTTGTGATTTCAGCACCCCCGATTTGTGCGAATCCGGTATTCGCCATTAATGCAGAACCGGAAACGATACTGACAGTTGATGGCATTGAATCGCTGAATACTTACGCCAACGGCGCCGCTACAATCGGTCTTCGAATTTCTGGTAATTTTCGCGGTAAGTTTCCACTCTTTTAATAAATTTGACGTATATATGAGATACACTAGTAATAATTATAAAGGAAAATAATCTTCAAGTTAATTTAAAAAAAAATCTATAAATAACCGCTAGCAGCAATTGTTAAAAACAATTTATATGTAACGTAAATTTTATTTTGCATTTAATTAAGAGTTGAAATTCAAAAGATTGTGGTTGTTCAATCACATTTGTTACTTTGAATAAATCATAAACACTTTTTTACCTATACTATTTTTAAGATGTTTAACAGAATTCTTTTATTGCGAATCTCTCAGATCTGTTACAAGATAGTCATTACGACCGACCATCAGCAACTCTGATACGTCTGCAGACAAATATGGACCATAACACGGAGCACTTGTACGACGAAATACCAATGCAGACCACTCCTTCGGATCGCAAGGATTTGTGATGGAGGAATGCATTTTCATTTATCCGGTCCAATCTATATCCGCATCTTTAGTTATATAGTTCAATAATGCGTCACAATAAAAGGACCTTGAAACGTTTTTAGGCTTGTCAATGATCGATAAAAAGTCGATCTAACTGGTTTCTGACCTTACGCAGAATCAATAAATGTGCAAGGCTGAACGTGACTGCAATTGAGTGGCACAAGACGGAACAAGTCATTCGAGTACGAGTCAGTGACCGACAGTAGAATTTAATTAACGGAGCAACAGCTCCTTTTGAATAAACTATTTTGTAATGTCGACAGAATGATGTCAAACTGGAGGCAAATGCACTCGATTATGATTGCGCACAAATGCGCAATTAGGTGGAAAACTGTTATTATCCAAATGATATTAAACATTTATGCAGCCTGCGGAACGGAATTACCTGTTTGCAAATAAATAGATGCGAAAATAAACTGCCCGGCATAAATCTAGCAGCGTCGTTAGTGTTGACGTAATTTACGGTATAAATTACCGTTGTGCAAATAAATTTATTGTTTATTTATTCCAGTTAAGCGATCTTTTCGTATTTATTTATTGTTGCTGGCAGAACAGCGCCTGTAATATTAACATTATTTTATTATGAATTATATTAAATAATCAGTCCCGTGGTAATCACATCCTGCAAAGAAATAGAATTGTTTTTCCAAGCGTATAAAAACATATCCTGCGATAATATAAGTTTTCAAATGTATCATTAATGATATGTACGTAAATGATAATATAATCAACAAAATTTGTTATCATAAGAGGAAATACACTTAATGAGTTTTGTGCACCGAAATTGAAATCGAAGAATAAAAATATTTAAAACAAACAATATGTGCATCCTAGAAAAATAACGTTAGCATTACTTATTTTATTTGTAAACAATTTTAAATAATTATCTATAATAAATTAAATTAAATAAATTGTGTAAGTATAATTGCATAAATCTTTCTTTGCCATTATTTTCGTATATCTCTTGATAAGTCACTTTATTGTAATTTTGTAATTTTATTAGTAGCGATATTTTTGTAAACTGAGAATCATTGAGGAAAATAATAAACTATATCATTATCTTCGATACTCCAGTGTTTTCTGTAGGAGGAAAGAGAAATTTTCCATTTCTATGTCATGTGATAATTTAATGTATCACTTCGTTTTGCATTAATTTTTTTCTATTTTGTATTAATCTTTTCAAGGAAATGTTATTTGCAGTCAGCATTAGCTTATCGTAATTGAATAAATAAATATCATGCATTTATCATATTCTTGAGTGCCCGTCTTATTATCGTCTCGATTAGCTCATGTATCCCGAATGATATCAGTCGGATTACATAAACAACGTTGAATACGCGGAGCAAGAGTTATAATAAACTGCTCACACACAAAAAACATATTATATAGCTTGAAGCAATACTTACATCACAAGTCAAAATAATTTTATCATTATTTTGACAATTTAAAAAACATTTTTCTCTCAGTTAAAATGTTATATTCATCCCATAAATCCTTCTATATAACCTTCTCTTTTCAGATAATATCGTTCAGATAAAACAAATGAATAAATATATTCCTTAATTAATCTAGCTAACACATATTATTTTCTTACGTTTTATATAATAATTTTTAACGTGCATAATTTAAAGATATTTTAAAAAGATTTTCATTTCGCTATTTAATCTTATATTAGGAAAATCCTATAAAAGGGAAATCTTGCAAATTTTTATGATCGTTTTATGCGAAGAGCTATGATCTTTTTATAATATAATTAAACTAAGATTTAATTGCAATACATTATCTTATCCCTTCGCTTTGCGCACACGTGATCAATTTTATTCACCCGATTAAAGCCATGCTTAATGAGTCAATTATGGCCTAGTTAATAGCAATGACTTAATCAATTAGATAAGAGTAAAAGTGTATGGAAAGAAACGAACACACGAACGCTTTGGCCCCATTTGGTCTCTCTAACATATCGATATGCATGATCGATAACCGTTTCCGTGAACAGGGAATGTTGCGTAGTTTAATGAGAAATTTAACGAGAAGATGAATACCGCTGACCCTTGCAACATCCTTATCGCGAAGATGCCCACTCTCTGACCGAAAATAAGTTCAGTAGTAAATTCGCGATCGTTCATGCAACATGCAAGGATTACTAATTTGCTTGATTGTCTTTACGTGCCTTGGTGTTGGCACCTGGGCAATTGAGGGTGTCAAAGGTGGACATCGGCCACGTTATCCTAGTGGGAGTTACAGTAGCACTAATTCTTCGCAAAATGGCCTTTGCCATAAAAGAGTGCCGTAAGTAATCAATTTTTTTTCGAGATCAACGTCGTAATTCTGATAATGCGAACATTATTTTCTGCTTGCAGTATTTCTTAAGAAATAGTTTAAAGTAAACAGTAAATTAACAGTATTCGCGCCTTTCAGGTACAGCCATGTTTTAGCTTTAAACGCCAGCGGATCGCTTTACAATACTATTCCTCAACCGCCTGAAGGTGGCCATCCTGTAAGTAAAATCTCTGAATCAAAGACAACTTATGAAAAGAAATTTCTTGAATTGATTTTTGATAAATATAACGAAGATATATTGTAGTTCGAAGACTCGATGCAAACAGTTTAAATAGACAATATTATATTTTATAGACGATATATGTGAGAAGCACAACCTATAGAAATCATTGCTTTAAACGATCTAGCTGGATCTTAAGTGCTTATATGATTCTGTGTGAATTTATATACTACGTATATAAGTCTTTTAAAATGTTCCGAATGATTTTTCGATCTTGAAACGCAAACTCTACTAAACTAAAACGCAGTAACATCAAGAGTTAAATTGACTAGCAATTTAACAATTTGATGTTTTTACGCATCTTAGAATAATCTTAATAATGCTAAGTGACATATTAAAATCTGTAAATAATTAATTCTTATTACGAAAAATCTTAAAAAGAAAGATCTTAATAATGCTGAGTATAAATAATTAATTCTTATTGCGAAAAATATTATCTCGGCCGAGAGTCGAATCCGGATCTCTTGCACTCCGTGCGAGAGTTCTAAGTCTTTAGTCTGCCGAGGCACGGAATGCAAGAGATCCGGATTCGACTCCCGGCTGAGATAATATTTTTCGCAATAAGAATTAATTATTTACACTCAGCATTATTAAGATCTTTCTAAGATGCAAAAAACCATCAAATTATTAAATGCTAGTCAATTTAACTCGTGATATTACTGCGATACTTTAGAAGATCATTTCGGGGCGCATATTTCAAAGGATTACATACGTAATATATAAATTCATTCAGACTCATATAAGCACTTAAAATCCACCTAGGCCGTTCAAGATACTGAGTTCAATTTAAATACACGAAAAAAAATTAATTGAGTGGTACAGCAAATCTATAACTTACTGCGCGAATTCAATGTCTGTAACTAAGAAGATTTGATGGTTGTTAATAAATCGCTATTCAGCTGTCAACTTTGCTACTTTAATATAGAAAATTGACTATCTGTGTATTACAACTGTAGATTTGCTGAATCAGTGAAATTTTCAGCTGTTTTTTTCATGCAGCTTCGACAACGAGAATTATAAGATAAATTCTGTTCTTCAGCCTGACGGTTGGATTACTATCTTGGACTGTTGTGACGGCTACGTGCGCAATGTGACGAGCGGTCTATGCGAACCGCAATGCGAACGCGGTTGTTTTGGCGGTCGCTGCACAGCCCCGAACGTCTGCAGCTGCCCGTCGGGATGGCGTTCCGAGGATGGCGTTTGCATGCCCGTTTGCTCGTATCGATGCCAGGAGAATGCTTATTGCTTTTCGCCCGAGATGTGCGTGTGCAAATTGGGCTACGACGAGATCGACGGTCAATGCAAACCGATCTGTCCTGACGGATGCAAGCAAGGCGAATGCGTGGCACCGCGCGTCTGCAGCTGCAGACAGGGATACGTTCTGAATGAACGCAAGGAGTGCGTGGCAGCGTGCGAAGGTGGTTGCGTGCATGGCGTGTGTAGCGCACCAGGCGTGTGCACCTGCGATCAAGGGTAATTAAATGCCGTTATCTCGAATCTCTTCGCCAACTGCGCAATGTTTTTCGCATCGACATTCCGCGCGATAATTAAACTCTGATTTATGCACGTAGTACATTAAGTAGTAAGTAACCTATTCCTACAAAACGGATGGTAATAATTGCGATATAAATAATTGATAAATCAATGATGAACTCGTCAAAAATATTATATTTTAAAAGCAATTATACATTGTGCGTGTAATCGCTATTATACAGGTATATAAATCAGTTGTTTTGTAATTTCGCGTAACCACATCTACGTAGATAATGATATTTATTAACATTGCCGCTTGAAGTGCAGTCACGCGTTATGATAATAATAAGTTTACAAATTACTAGTTTTATAGAATGAGTATCGAGTTGATTTTTTATATATCCAAGTCAAGAGAAAGTCAAGAGAAAATTACTTTATTTTGACGTTATGAAATTGAGTAAAAATGAATTTTTGTTACAAATATATTGAGAATTAAATTAAAATCATTTTGATTTTTTGTTGACGTTTATGTGTCTCTTGGTGGGACATTTTACAGATGCTGTCTTTCAACAATAAATTCTTTAGCAATTCAGAATTTTAACTCCCTAATAAATTTCTGACAATTTCCTTTGTCGACTGATCAATAAAACGTATAAATATATAAATAATATATCATAATGCAGCTATAAATTGTTTTACAGATACACCAACTTCCTCGGCGATACCGAGTCCTGCATTCCCCATTGCCCGAACGGTTGTCCTAACGGCGAATGCGTCGCACCAAACCTGTGCTTATGCAGAGTCGGTTTCACGCGCAATCAAACCGGCGCTTGCATACCTATCTGCCAGGGTGGTTGTGAAGGAGGCGAGTGCATCGCACCCAACTTTTGCAGCTGCAGACCTGGATATACGCAGGATCGTCATAGCGGCAAATGCGTCCCGAGTACTACAGGTTCAGCGCAGTGCGGATACGGATACACCGTCGATCCTGATACCCGCAGATGCATTCCCGTAACGACTACCCCCCCAACATCGCAGCCCATTGGCGATTGCAGATATGGCTGCGGTCCACATAGCGTGTGCATAGGAAATCGATGCATTTGCGAACCTGGATTCACTGTCGATCCCGATACTAGCAGATGCATCTCCGTCACGACATCCACGACTAATTCGACGCAATGCCGATACGGTTGCGGACCAAACGGCCGATGCGTTGGTTCAAACTTGTGTGTCTGCGATCCGGGATTCCGCGTTGATCCCGATACCAGAAGATGCATTCCACACGTGAGCACGAGCGCGGACATGTGCCAGTACCCGTGCTTAAACGGTCAATGCACTGGACCGGATCAATGCACCTGCAACCGTGGGTACACGCACGACGAATACGATAGTACGCGTTCAAGATGCGTGCCGGTATGCGTGGGCGGATGTCCGAACGGTGTATGCACCCTGCCAAACTTTTGCATATGCAATCCCGGATACCGAAAGGAAGGTGTTAAGGGTCGACAGAGATGTATCCCAGAGTAAATGAGTTGACTGCATACAAAACATATTGTTAGATATATATTAGTTTGATAAAACTAATATTATCAAATCAATAATTATGATCAACTGAATTTATATAAATAAACTGATTTATAACAAATAATTTTTTATGTGTCTTTTATTTCATGCAATATGTCTAAATTTATAATTATGATACCTTTAAAAAATAATAATATGAAAATAAAATATTTTCACACATTTAAAAGTTTTTAGATTGTAATAATTGTACGATAATTATACGCGCATTCTTGAATAACGTTGTGAACTAATCAATACGGATACAACTTCCTCAGAGTAAACAAAGTGTTTAAATATGGAAAACTCCAATGACAAATGAATACGTTAATTATATAACAATTCATAAAATTAATTATAAAGTCAGGCATATAAGTAGAAGTGTTCTATAAATCTTACATTCTTATAAAAGAATATGTAGAAATGACATGACTAGCCACAAATGCTATCGCGTGCAGTATATTTTACACACTAATCTTATTACATTATAAATGGGTTAAATGCGGACTGCATCCTTGACCCAATACGTCAACTTCACGTAAGTTTCGCTCAAGAAAATGTATGTTCCCGTTTATGCACTGTTAAACACGCGGAATCGATTCGTTTACGCCATGAAACAATTATGCAGTTTCTCTCCAGAGCTCAACGCAATGTATATTTCTTAAAAGCGATTCACAAGATATTCCGCAACGTGTGTGTTATGTACTTATATGTTTAACATATCTTATTATTTTCACAATGAGATGCAAAGTACTTTGTACCCAGCATGATTCACGTCTTATAAACAGAAACCGATAATGTAGCATTTTATTCAGGATTTTCATTAACTTGTCTTAAATAGAATTTCAATTCCTTTTATTCGCACGCAATCTCTTTTTATACGTACAAATAAATTAATAATTGCAATTGCCAGATATTGTAAAAATTTTTAGCAATTTATGCGAAATAGAACTATTAAAATTAAAGAAGCTCATTTTGCTGATAAGCAGAGATTCATACAGATTTAATTGTAACTGCCTGACAACAGCTAACATCCTGTCACATTCTGATAGCACGCTACTCTCATAGCTCAAAGAGGAGAAGAAGCTTCAGTATAAGTTGCGACGCAATATACTTTGCAACACACTTTATCCACACACTGATTTGTCGTTCACATTTGGATCTCCCTTCAAATGTATATGTTTAAATATATTCGATAATTATGAAACTTTTGTACATCATATTTATTCTTTCCATTCTACAAGACGAATTAATTATTAAAGTAGAATTGCATACTGTAACGTTGTCAAGTGATTATTCTACGGGAAATTGTAGTAAAATCATTAGGTAAGATTTGCTATATTTTACGATTAAAAATGCTTATCAATACTATCGCAATGTATAATCGGCACACAAGTGAGCTAATAATGCTAATAATAAAAATTAAAATCATGCGCTGTTTGCAGTTTTATAGAAACATCTGAAGTTCCATACTTGGAAACATTTAAGGAAAAAACGTGGGGTATTTTTTATAAAACCCGCGTTCGATGGAATTATAAAATTGAGGTAAGGTTTAAGCATCGAATTTATATTCAAAGTAATATTCTCGTTAAAATGATAGAATCAAAATTCAAAATGTGTAATAAGTACATTTAGCGCATAATGACGTTTATATTTATCGGGAAATAAAATAATTATTTCGTAATATAAAAATTTTTTAACTGAATGAATTAAAAAAAGGATAAAATTATAGAAAGATAAATGTAGTATTAAAATTATAGATATAGCTGACAATATAATAACTTACATAGAAATAATATCTTCAATAAAATTTACAGCTTATTTTGTAACATTTAATATTAAAATTTTATAACTTTGATTAACTTTTTGTTGAAAAAATATTATTTCTCAATTTTCAATAAGTATCACTCTACTAATCAAATCATCTTTTATCAATATTCTGTGTGTGTGTGTGTGTGTGTGTGTGTGTGTACTAAAGATAGCATTTTTGTTGATTAACGCTCTACATACTTTTATGCATACAAATAAATATTACTATATATGCAAAAACTCGTTTCTATTGTTAGTCTCGCAGATCATGGCGCATAGAATACGAGTGTTGTGATGGATTTGAACGTAAACATTTTTGGGACGCTTCGAGAAAAGTATATACAAAATGTGAACCAATTTGTCAGCCTCCTTGCGGAAATGGTATATGCACGAAGCCAAACTTATGCATCTGCAATTATGGATACATTTTTATATACTCTGAAACTCCAGAGTCTGACGTTGGCTGTGTTCCTGTGTGTACTTCCCCTTGTGTACACGGCAAATGTGTCTTACCCGACATTTGCATGTGCGATTCTGGATACAAACTGACAAACGATCATTACATCTGCGAACCCATTTGCAATGTACCTTGTCCTACAGGATCATATTGCTATAAACCCGACCAATGTCTCTGTCTGGACGGATATAAAAACATTTCCAGTGACGTCAAATTAACTAATGTAAGTAAACAATAGAAACACTTTGATTTATTCAAATTGAATTTGCCCTAATTAATATATTAAGCGTGTCATAAAAATAATGTCATAATAATTGGAAAGATATTAATATTAAAGATAATGTAAGAAAAATACGAGTATTATTTTAATAATAAAGATCACACCTTTTTGTACTCAGATGTGCGAACCTATTTGTGAAAGAGAGTGTGTTTACGGGAAGTGTACAGCCCCCAATATCTGCACTTGCGATGATGGTTACGAACCTGATACACACGACTTATTTGCCTGCAAGCCCACGTGCAAGAATGGTTGTCTGTATGGCGAGTGCACCGCTCCTAATGTATGTACCTGTAATAAGGGTTATTCATTAAATACCTCGAGCGTTTGCGAACCAATCTGCAGTGAAGCTTGCGTTATGGGCATTTGCGTGGCTCCTGAAAGTTGTAACTGCTTCGTGGGCTACGGACTGTTTGAAAATTCAAAGTATATCTGCGAACCAGTCTGTGAAAAGGCTTGCCTCAATGGACGATGCACTGCGCCTGGCATATGCATGTGTAACGAAGGATTCCAATTAAGTGGCGACGAATCAGAAGAACACATTTGTAAGCCTTATTGCGAAACTTCTTGCGAGCCATTTGGCGTTTGCACTGCGCCGAATGTTTGCTCCTGTTTTGAAGGATATCACCTGGCTAATAAGATGCAAATTGAGAAAATCGTTAGTATTAAACTAGCAAGACTATATTACGGCAATCCAAGATCTATAAGTATGATTTGACAAATGAATTTATACCTATTTTATATTATTATAATAATTTTAAATAATTATATCAAATCTCTATCTAAGCCGAATATTTCTATTGTCTAATGTTAATTCAAAAACTAACGTTAATTCTTCATACATTAATTCTTTAGATTTATACGAAAGATTGGTTTTCAGAATTTGCTACATTTTGCGAGCAGTTCGGTTTGCGAGCCGATCTGCGAGATAGACTGCATAAATGGATTCTGTAGCGCTCCGTGGACGTGTAGTTGCAACATCGGCTATCATCCAACATCGACGATTCCTATGTCAAATTCCTATGTCTGTCAACCTACATGTAGCCAGAAATGCTTCAACGGCTTCTGTACCGCACCTGAGACTTGCATGTGCAATTCGGGCTATCGTCGTTCCAATTCTTGGAATGAATGCGAACCGATCTGCGAGACTGATTGCATCAATGGATATTGCACTGCGCCAAACGAATGCACCTGCAATTCCGGCTATCAACCTACCGAAGGAAATCGTACAAGCCTTTGCGAACCTATTTGCAATCCAAATTGCAAGAACGGTATCTGCGTACAACCCGACGTATGCAGTTGCAACCCGGGCTATCGTCTGTCGATAAATTCTAAGACAGTATGCGACCCTATCTGTCAACCGACTTGCGGAATAAACGGAATTTGCGAAGCACCCGATCTCTGTATTTGCAAGGACGGTTATCGCATGATTTATTACGACAAAAAAAACGTTCCGTTCAAATGTGAGCCGATTTGTAGCGTTGAATGTGGCAATGGCACATGCACGGCGCCGGATCTCTGTATATGTTTCGATGGCTATCGAAACGCAGAAGTTGGCGGATGCGAGCCCGTCTGCTCGACTTGTAACAACGGCAGGTGCGTTGCGCCCGAGATTTGCGAATGCGACTACGGATTTGTTCCTGCGGATCCGAATTTCGAATTTGAAGTAAAAGACTTTCGATCTTCGATTGTCTCCGAAAATAGAACGAAAAACGGAAGTAGATGCCTGCCGCATTGTGAGAATTGTGATAATGGCGAGTGTGAGACACCAGGAGAGTGTCGATGTTATGCTGGTTTCGTGAAGATCGAAGGTACCTGCGTACACGCATGTCAGGGTGGTTGCGGTACTCACGGCGAGTGCGTCGAGGAACGCAAAACTTGCGAATGCGATTATGGATGGGCTGGATTACACTGCGATCGCCCAACATTGTGTGTCTTAATCTTGAAGAATGAAGATAATCGAACTGAGCAGTAAGTATATATAATAAGTACCTTTATCTTTTTCTCGCAATTAAAGCGTATAATAAAAATTATAATAGACGATATATTCGTCTATGATATGTTATTAACAAAAAGATGAGCGTAACGTTAAGATATTTTTATATTATCATAATGGATTTTGGTTTTATATAATATTAGGTGTATAACTTTGCTTCCGCCGTTTTCCTATAGATGGCTTTAGCGGTAAGTGGTCGAAATAAATAGATCATAGTCATACAATAAACTTGGGCATCTGTCAACATAACCCCATAGAAACATTAGTCGATTTGTGTCTGCATCATAAAATTATTCTCGATTGAAAATGTCAGTTTACGAGCCAAATTCTCGTCATTTGCGGGAGGTTTTAATTTTTTGCTTCAATATGAAAAAATCTGCGGCTGAGGCT